TCATCTTGGGATACTCCAGTGATCATTCCCCTAGTGTAAATGTTATCAAACTTGTCAATTTGTTGATTTGGGTGCTTGGGTGTGAAGCGCTTCATTTTGGGTTACTTCGGTGAACTTTCCCGTAGTGTTGATGCTTCCAATCTTGTGTCTTTGCTGATCTTGATGCTTGTGTGAGTTGCGATTCATCTTGGGATACTTTAGGGATCATTCCCCTAGTGTAGATGCCATCAATCTCGTCATTTTGCTGATTTGGGTACTAAGGTGTATTGCGATTCATCTTGGGATACACCGATGATCATTCTCCTTGTGTAGATGTCATCAAACTTGTCAATTTGCTGATTTGGGTGCTTGTGTGTGCAGCGCTTCATCTTGGTATACTTCGGTGGTCATTCCCCTAGTGTAGGCACTCTCAAACTTGTCATCTTGCTGATTTGGGTGCTTATGTGTGTAGCGCTTCATCTCGAGATACTTCCGTGAACTTTCCCCTTGATAGATTGCTTCCAAACTCACCTTTTGGTTGTGCTTGATGCAAGTTTGTGTTGCTATTCCTTCCACGATGCTTCGGTTATGTTTCCCCTTGATAGATTGCTTCCAAACTCACCTTTTTGTTGTCCTTGATGCATGTGTGTATGGCGATTTTTTCGGGGATACTTCGGTGATGTTTCCCCTTGATAATTTGCTGTCAAACTCACCTTTTTGCTGTCCTTGATGCATGTGTGTATGGCGCTTCCTTCCAGGATACTTCGGTGATGTTTCCCGTTGATAAATTATTGTCAAAACTCACCTTTTTGCTGTCCTAGATGCATGAGGGTATGGCGTTTTCTTTCCGGGGTACTTTGGTGAAACTTTCCCCTTGGTAGATTGCTTTCAAAACTCATCTCTTGGCTGTTTGACGCAAGTATGTGTTGCGATTCATTTCGGGGTACTACGGTAGGATTTCCCCTAGCAAGGATACTCCCTAACTTGTCAATTGGCGGTAGTTATGTGCGTGTGTGTGTGTTGCAGTCCCGGTAACCCGTTCAGCCCATCCTCCCACTTTGCTGTAACCGGCGGCATGCGGTGTGTGTATGTGTGTATGTTGCAGTCCCGGTAGCCCAGTTCAGTCCATCCTCACCCCTTGCTGTAACCAATGACATGCGGTGTGTGTATGTGTGTGTGTTGCAGTCCTGGTAACTCGTTCAGCCCATCCTCACACCTTGCTGCAACCGGTGACTTGTGAAGTATGTGGGTGTGTGGGTGTTGCAGTCCCGGTAGCCCAGTTCGGTCCGTCCCCACCCTTTGCTGTAATTGGTGACTTGCGGTGTGTGTATGTGAGTGTGTTGCAGTCCCGGTAGCCCAGTTCAGTCCGTCTTCACCTTTTGCTGTAACCGGTGACTTGCAGTGTGTGTATGTGTGTATGTTGCAGGCCCGGTAGCCCAGTTCGGTCCGTCTTCACCCTTTGCTGTAACCGGTGACTTGCGGTGTGTGTATGTGTGTGTGTTGCAGTCCCGGTAGCCCAGTTCAGTCCGCCTTCGCCCTCTGCTGTAACCGGTGACCTGCGGTATGTGTATGTGTATGTGTTGCAGTCCCGGTAGCCCCGTTCAATCCGTCCTCACCCTAGCTGGAGTCGGTAGTATGCGGAATGTGTATATATGAGTGTTGCGGTTTCGGTAGCGCAGATCAGTTCTTCCCCTTTGTGTGTGACCGATGCCTTCCAAAAAAAAAAAAAAAAAGTAGTATATGGTGATCGGGCGCCCGGGTAGGAAAGGAGGCACGGAGCTAAGCGTCAGGTTGCGTCCGTCAAGTGTTCGCAATCCCCATCCACCATAGCCGACCACCTTGACCCTTCTTCTTCCTCCCTCACTCACATCCATCCACCATAGCCGACCACCTTAACCCTTCTTCTTCCTCCATCACTCACATCCATCCACCATAGCCAACCACCCCAACCCTTCTTCTTCCTCCATCACCCACACCTATCCACCATGGCCAACTACCCCAACCCTTCTCCTTCCTCTATCACCCATACCCTTCCACCATAGCCGACCACCTCAACCCTTCTTCCTCCTCCACCCCCTGCACCCATCCACCATAGCCAACTACCTCAACCCTTCTTCTTCCTCCATCACTCACATCCATCCGCCATAGCCAACCACCCCAACCCTTCTTCTTCCTCCACCCCCTACACCCATCCACGATAGCCAACTACCCATCCATCATAGCCGACCACCTCAACCCTTCTTCCTCCTCCACCCCCTGCACCCATCCACCATAGCCACCTACCTCAACCCTTCTTCTTCCTCCATCACCCACACCTGTTCACCTTTGCCGACCGCCTTGACCCTTCTTCTTCCTCCATCACTCACACCCATCCACCATAGCCAACTACCCCAACCCTTCTCCTTCCTCCATCACCCAAATCCATCCACCGTAACCGACCACCTCAACCCTTCTTCCCCCTCCACCCCCTACACCCATCCACCATAGCCAACTACCTCAACCCGTCTTCTTCCTCCATCACCCACACCCATCCACCATAGCCGACCGCCTTGACCCTTCTTCTTCCTTCATCACTCACATCTATACACCATAGTCAACTACCCCAACCCTTCTCCTTCCTCCATAACCCACACCCGTCCACTATAACCGACCACCTCAACCCTTCTTCCTCCTCCACCCCCTACGTCCATCCACCATAGCCAACTACTCCAACCCTTCTTCCACCTCCATCACCTACACCTTCCGCCATAGCCGGCCACCCGAACCCTTCTCCTTCCTCCATCACCCACACCCATCCACCATANAACCCTTCTCCTTCCTCCATCACCCACACCCATCCACCATAGCCGACCACTTCAACCCTTCTTCCTCCTCCACCCCCTACACCCATCCACCAATGCAAACTACCCCAACCCTTCTTCCACCTCCATCACCTACACCCACCCACCATAGCCGACCACCCCAACCCTTCTTCCACCTCAATCACCTACACCCATTTACCATAGCCGACCGTCCCCCAACCCTTCTTCCACCTCCATCATCTACACCCATCCACCATAGCCGACCACCCCAACCCTTCTTCCACCTCCATCACCTACACCCGTCCACCATAGCCAACCACCCAACCCTTCTTCTACCTCCATCACCTACACCCTGTGTGTCCATTCAACTAGCAACGGGATTTTTTCAACTCCGTTGTACCCGTTAAAAGGGCACAAGTCCCGAGTTGAATCCCCGTTGAACGATTTAACGGTCGGTTCTCGTTGAACTCGGTTCAACGGACCTCGCGCAACGGCCACCGGGCACGAGGCGCCGGCGACGTGAACCAAAAAAACAGGGGGTTGTCTTCGACCCCGTCCGTTGTACCCCCGTTGAACCCGTTGAACGGGAGTTCCCCGTTGAACGGATTCAACTCCGTTGAATCCTTGTCGAACGGCTTCGTCGTTTGACGGGTAAGCAAACGACGGGGGTTGCGCCCGCGGCTGCGGCCGCATCGACGTGCGCTGGAGGTACATCGTTGCTTGGAGGGAGAAGGGACCGTTGGAGCTCAGCCTAGCTATGGCGAGTAGTCCAGCTTGAGGAGGAGGAAGAAGGGGCATGGTAGGAGAGTGTTGAGGCACTTACGTGGCTATGGTGGACACCGTCTTCATCACCTTATTGGGCGCTGCATCCGGAAGGCCCCAGTTGGGATAGCGCTGCAGCAAGGAAGCTCAAGGCAGAGTCAGGCATGGCGGACCAGTCTGCAGCGGCATAGTTGTTATTGGGTTGTCCTTTGGACATCGGCAGCACCATAGCGGCTTTGGTTTGTGTTTTGTACAGGAGGGCAGGACCCTCATCAGTCCACCATAGCCTGTGCATGAGAGGGAAGGCTGAAGGAGGGAAGCCATATCTATGGTGGGCTTGTTGTTGTTGTTGTGGAGTTGCGTCAGAAGTAAGAAGGAACTTCGGATATTGATTCTGCTTCACCCATTCATTGTTATTATTATTATTGAGAGAAGAATAAGATTGGTGAAGTGAAGGAGGAGGAGGAGGTTGGAGAGAGAAGGGGGGAATTGTCATTGGTCTTGCTGGTGTACTTCTTCTTCTTCTTCTTCTGCTTCCCCTCTCTTCTCTGGTCTTTATCTCTTTGCAAGTGTTTTCATTTCTTTCGCAATTAGGTGGCATTGTCTTTCATTGTGAATTGCACTTGGAAAACGAACAGGATCGTAACAATTGAATGATTGTTGGGGGAGGGTTGCCCAGACACACAAACACAAACTCCCACACACACACGCACACGCACGCACGCACGCACACGAACGCACACACACATACACACACATACACACACACACACACACACACACGCACACACATACACAAAAATAACCGCATAGAAGAACATGAAACTACAACGAAAACAAAGTAGTCATGAAATGTCATACAAAAGTCATGCCGAAGTGCCGGCGAAGTCGCATATAGGAGTCCAATATGAAATACATCTCACATGGTACAATGTGTCGTCGACACTCGTGCCGAGTCGCACAGGGCCGTACACCGATGGGATGCAACCTACACCGCTAACTAACAAAGCTGGAAATAAAACCCTAACAAACATCTACGTAAAACGACAAGTTAGAATGAAGTCCAACCTCTAACAAAAACCCAATAACTAAAAAACAATATGAAAATGTCGTACATAAACTGAAAAACGAAACAAACAAACACTGTCGACGACACTACCCAGTCTACCTGCATGCTGAAGTCCATGAACTGGTCCGAAGTCCCTAAAACCTAACTATATGTACATCATCCTAAACAATATACAAAAACGTCAGAACAATAACCGCAAACAACATAAAGGCGTCGTGGAAGCACTGGAAGGGGAACAAAGCTGTCAATACCATCGACTTCCCTTCGCCTTACCACTGCCTCTCTGCCTCGCCCCACTCGTGCTGCGTGTCGACGAAACACTCCCTCGCCCCGGCGCTATCGCAACGGATGACCCTCGCCTCCTCCGACTCCTCGTCTCCCGCCGCCCTGGAGGGGACGGGTCGTCTACGTCATCATGTGCTCTACGAGAGCCACGTCGTCTACGAGAACCATGCCGCGGTGGAGGGGAGGGCTCGTCGTCGTCGTCGTGGTAGCTGTCATCATCCCCGCTGTCGCTCTCCTCCTCCTCACGCTCCTCGTTGTCCCTGTACTCGTCACCCTTCTGTGGGGCCTCCTCACGTGCAGGCTCCGTCTCAGGATCGTCCTCCACCACGATCACATGGGCAGCCCCCGTCCTCACCTGAACAAGCCTAGCACTCACCTGAGTCACCTCTGCGACTGTCTTCTCACGACGAGAACCGCATGGCATCTCCAACCCCTCGGCTCCAGAAGACTCCTCCAACGCGGCATCCCCCGTGGCAGGCATCATCTGAGGCATGGAACTCGTACGAGGTACTCCGCTCCTGCGCGAAGTCTGCTCACGCGCAGCACGTGCTGCTGCTGCCAAAGCAGCCTGCAAGGTACACCCGGCCTATCCAACCCCGCGAACATCTCGCGGCTGAGATACTGCCGCCATGACCTCCCTCGGCACACCCCTCCCGGTGTCAGCCCCACCCAAACCTGGCTGCTGTCGTGCAGTGTGCATTGTGACCCGACGTATGGAGTCCAGGTCGATATCCGTCCTCCCGAATAACGACGTGTCAAGAGGGAGGCTCCCTACGGCCGTCGTGTCACGAACCCTGGGTCTGGTGGGCGTGGATGGTGAACGGGGGGGGCGACCGACTGGTGTCGAGGGGGAATCGCTGTGACGTGATCTCATAGGAGGAGGCGGCATAAGTGGTCTGCTAGGGTCGGTGTCCTCCCGTCGCGTCACGTCACGCACAGCAGCCCGTGCGATCTCTGCGAAATCCAATGGGCGAGCTGTATCCTGAGGAGCTCGCCGCCCAGTAACCGGTGTATGAAAAACTGCCTTAGATCCTAAATCCACGACTAATACCAGTGGTACCTTAACAAATGCCTCCTCCCCAGGACCTGACCCCTGCACACACGGTCGAACTGGCCGCATCGTCGTCGTCATCTGCAAGCTCGTGAACGGTACCAACGAACTGCTACCTCCAGGGATATCCGCAGGGGGTGCATCCTCACGCTCCTCTTGTGGTTGCTCTACTACCTCCTCGCACCCCTGCTGAAGCGTGTCTGTCTCTCTCCCGGAGCGTCCTGCAAATGCCTGCTCGATGTCCTCTCTGGAGTACCCAGCGGCCGCTAGGGCACGCGCCACATCCTCTCTCTCTGCGTGACCAGGGGTGGGCAGATCCCCCATCCCCAGCCCTGATGCCCCCCTCTGTCCTGATGGCGACGCCCCCAGTGCCCTCCTCGTGCCCGGGGTCAAACCCACTAGTGCGGGACCCATCTCGTTATCGACGAAACGCTGGACGATCGGGTCAAGGTCGCCCCTCCCTCTCCTCTACCATGGGCGACGTCCCCCCTAACCACACCCTCCTCTCCCCCAACCAACGCAGCAGCATGTGCCCTCACCACATCCTCCTCCATCTCAACATGGGCATCACCATCATCTAGCCATGCCACGCTCTCGTCTACCCCTGCTACAGCCTCCTCTCCCTCATCGTCCCTCATCATCGCCTCCTGCGTCCTCACCACATCGTCCTCTCTCTCAACCTCCGATGGCAGCACGCCCTCCACTCCCTCAACCTGCTCACCATCATCGACCCTCACCATGGCCTTCTCTCTCTCGACATGCGCACCATCATCTACCTCCACCACACCCCCCACTACTCCAGCTACCTCCTCCTCCATACCCCGAGTACCCTCAACTCCGCCCGCTCCGGCGGCTCCGTGCTCCTCCGCTCGTCTCTCCCTCTCCTCCACCGGTGGTGCCCCGCTWTGAACACCCATCTCCCCCAAGTCGCTTGATGCACGCGGGTCCAAAACGAGCTGACGGGCTACGCTAAACAATGATCCATGCCGCTACGCAACGAGGATCCCAAGTCCTCCCTCCCAACCGGTGCAGGTGAGCGCTCGTCATGCCGAACGGGAGCGGGCGGAGCGGATGCTGGGAATCCTGGGATAGAATGACGCGAAAGAGGTGACCGGGACGAGGGTCCGGACTGCGTAACGGGAATACTCATCTGCTCTCGCGTGGTCGTGGGAGCAGGCGTCTGCTCCTGCGCGGTCGACGAAACAGTCGTTCGCTTCCGCACTGTCGTGGCAGGATCCGTCTCCTTACTCGCAGTCATAGGAGCAGACGTCTCCTCCCACAAGGTCGTGCAAGGACGCCTATCCTCCCGCGCGACAGTGGGTGATCTCTCCTCCGTGCCCCCGAAAGATCCCCAAATCTCCTCGCCCCCCATCATATCCATGTCTCACTGGTCTGCCGCCCTCCGCGTGGTGTGCGTCCTCTCATCACGCACGTCGCCCCCCTCGTGCAACTCATCAATCTCACGCGGGATGGGAAGCATCGGGTCGTCCGCTGCTTCCGACTCCCTCTCGTCCGCAGAGTCATCGTCTCTAGGGTATAGGCGGAAGATAGTCGCACGAGCACCGAAAACAGACTCAACAGGGGGCGGCGCAGAAGATCCAATGGGATCGCGCACAATGAGGGCAGCCTGCTCCTCGATCTCCTCCTCTGTCATCCCACTCCTCGTCCCCGAGGGCACAGGCTCCACGTCCAATCCTGCCTGAGCGTCAAGCATGCCCTAGTCTCACTGCCAAGGGAGGACGTTTCCACGACCTGCACGTCTATACTCCATCAACCGCACATTTGCGGTGATCTCAACAAGATGAACGACCTTCTCGAAGGCCAACTGATTACGCTTCTTCGTATGGATGCCCTCGTGGACCGCCCAGTTCCTCTCCGCTGGAGAGGCGCAGGACCACATGTGCATCAAACGAAGAGCACAATGCTGTAAATCGGGCGCGTCTTCCCCGTACTGAGACCACCATGACGCACACTTCAACGTCTCGCAGTCTCCGCTGCAACTACGCGCTCGAGCGCGGCCCTCTGCCCCGCCCCAAGACCCATACCTACCCTGCTGCATGTGAAAATCCTCGAACTGCCGACATACCTCAAGGTAACGACCACCCGACTCGTCGTGGCCCGTCTGAGACAACAGATACCTCTTGGCTTGCCGAACAAGCCAAGTGTGGTACCGGTCGAGCTGCGCGGAGAAGTACTGAACGTCCTGGCGACGGGGGTTCAGTAAGAACGCGGCGCAGTGGGGGGGCTCTAGCATGTGCTGTATACGGGTCTACACACGCCTCATGATACGGTCAGAAAAGGACTGGCCAAGAGGAATGCAAGTGTCCCTCACAAGGCGTGCAAGATCCCGAGTCCACTCTACAACGAGAAACATGAACTGTCCGCCACGGTCCATCCGCCTCAGCAAGTCCATGACAGGATCCATGACGTGCTTGATGGCACGCATCCTCTCCCACCAAGGGGACCACCTAATCTGTCGGCGCACCCAACGCGCAATGTCGCGAACGTCGGGGGACTACAGGATCCTAGCCCAAGCCCGACCGTCCTCCGCTGTCATTATGCCCTGCAAACGATCCTGCAGAGCGAGCAGCCTTTCCAACATGGAGTACACGGACGCAAAGCGCATCTCGCATGAAAGCACGAGGCCCAACGCCGCGCTCCGCTTCCGAAAGAAGCTGAGAGCGGCCTGGTGGGTTTTGAAAAACACCACCAGAACTCGGGCAGGCGTGATCGTGTCCACTAAAGAGGTGCAGATCGTGCCAATGTCTGACAATAACTTGTTGCAGACATGGACGCAACACGGGAGCCAAGTGATCCTCCTCAGCTCAGGGGTCATAGATGGCGAGGCCAATGCCCTCGCAGCCCCCACGTATGCAGAGGCGGAGTCAGTGCATATAGCATTGACCCGCTGTGGGCCACCGAATCTGAAAGCATGAAAGATGGCGACCCATCTCTGCAGGACGTGCACCGCATCGTCTGACTCCCCCTCTCGGTTGATCGTCGTGTACATGATGACCTCCCGAGACCCAACTGCGAGGAAGTTCACGATCGGTCGCCCATCTCGTGACTTCCTCCCGTCAGAGAGGAGGGTGGCGCCACTCAACCATAAGGACTGCCTAACCTCCTCCAACTCCTCTGCCAACTGCTCGCGGTGGATCTCCATAGTTCGCATGTCTGCGATCTCGCTGTAGGATGGAAGCACGGGAAGAGGTGCTCCATCAGGTTGCCGAAGAGCAACCTGCTGGAGGTTCCGGTACGCCGTGTTGCGGAAGGCATTGAAGGCAATCCCGTTGGAATACACCCAACGAAAGAATGCCTTCCTCCACTCACCAATCCACTCGCCACCATACGTGTCCGTCATTTTCTGTTGCCGCAGCCTCTTCCCTGCACTGGTGTCAGAAAGCTGTGCACCCCCCTCCTTCCTCTTCGAAGAACCCGGCGTGCTTGCTCTATCAGGAACAACACTCTTCGAAGAACTCGGCGTGCATGTCGTCTCAGGCGGGACGGCCTTCTTCCCGCACTTCCGCTCCCAGTCCACCGCCCTCTGATGAGCCATCAGATCGGACTTCGGCACGCCCCCCCTCTCCCCTCGGTGTCTGCTCCCCCTCTGCCACGCCAACCTCTAGGTCAACGTCTGCCTCGTCCTCCTCCGCGGCACCCGCACCCTCCCCATATCTCGCAACACCTCCCTCCGCATAACACCCGGTATCCTCTCCCTCGCCCACGCCCTGTGCAGGACGCTCCGCCTCGCCACCCATCGCACCCGACCGCGGGACATCGAGACCACGCTCGTGTGCGAACCGCCGCACCCTCTGTACCTGATCGGCCTCGAAGCGGTGTGTGCATTTTTGCGCAATCTGGTACAATGCATCATTGGACACCTTCTTGCAATAATTCTGCTGGGTGAAGTGTTTCGTTGCATAGAATTGGGTTCCCTTAAACACCTTATTGCAGAAGGTGCACCGTAGCATATTAACCCCCCTGTTGCCGACCTTCTGGCCGACAACAACGTAAGATACACAGCAGATTTGCGCCTATAATCCTGCTGCACATGTTCGGGCGCAGACTCATGTTCGCGCGTCTGTTTTCGCGGCATTGTGAACCCCCCTCAAAGCCGCGCCCGTCCAGTCGTAAGCGCCTCCCCTCCGACACCTCGTGGCCAGCGGCGCCAGGGTTGTCAGGCGGGGGCCCCCGGGGGCAAAGCCGGGGTAGGGGTTCGACCCCCGAACCCCCGCCGCCGGGGTGCCCCACCCCC